TATTATTATTATTATTATTATTATTATTATTATTATTATTAATCCAAGCTTACCTGTTGTGAATGTCATGGCTCAGTGGAGGATAGAACCATAATCTCTGAACTCCCAACCCATAACCACAACACTATATTAACACTGGCTCTCTGGTTTCTGGTAATATTGAATAATAATAAATGATAGCAGTTATTCAGTTAGCAACCCAATGTTGTACATATCTACTGAGAATTAATTCACCTTGCCTTCATTCCAACTGACTCCTAGATAAGTTGGGATAAAGTGTCCAGCCTTAATGTATGATTTCCTGTGGGGAAGCGAACTACCTAAACATTTGCTCAAGTAAACTTGAAAACAGAAGTTGAACAGTTCAAAGGTTTCTCCATTACTTCCTCAGGCATACACTAAACTAACACTTTCAAAAGTGTCAGTGCCTAAATGGGTTTTTATAGCTATTACATCCCACACAATACCATGGGATGGAGGGATATGGGCGAAGCATTTCAGAATGAAAGTAGAAAATGGGAATGGTAGGTGATGCTGGGTAGAGAGAGAAGAAAAAGCGAGAAGACAGCTTGAAGTTCTTCAAGGTGTGAGTGAAAAGACATAACACATATTGGTTAAATGTAGGAAGGGAGTGACAGGGAACAGACTTTCTCAGCTCATTTTTTGTACTGAAATATTAACACACACACCCTACAGCCTTCTGCTCATTTTTCCTTCTTTGCCTCATGTTATATATAACTTAATGTGAACACTTGAGGGACAGGATCCATCTGCTGCTTATAACTGCTGTGCCTTGCTGTGTTTGTGTGGAGGAATGGATTGCTCAGATCTTTGAATGGTATTTTTCAAAAGGAGCTAACTCCAGGCCTTTACAGACTGCCAGAAATAATGCAACTTGAGTTCACTTTAACTGTCCTGGCTTAGTGCTAGGGAATCATGGGAATTGTAGTTTTTTCTGAGACATTGAGCCTTCTCTGTCAGAGAGCTCTGGTGCCACAATAAACTACAGTTCCCATGATTTCCTAGCACTGAGCCAGGGCAGTTAAAGTGGACTCAAGTTGCATTATTCCTGGCAGTCTGTAAAGCTCCTCCATTACATAGTACAGTTGCTTCTCTGTTTTCACAGGGGATCAGGTCTGGATCCCTCTGCGAAAATGGAAACGCATGCATATTCAAACCCCATCAAAAATGGAAACCCACGCATATTCAAGCCCCATAGGCTTGAATGGAGGCACAGGAGTATGAGGGCATTTGGGCATGCACTGTGGGGGTGCACCCCATTATTTGCTCCTCTGTTTGTCCCTTGCGCATAAGAGTGGGACACAGATCTGAAGTTGCAGAAACGGAGGGGCAACTGTACTGTGATCACTCAATGGGTTGTTACTTCCCACTCTTCCTGCAGTCGAGAACACAACTCACTATTTTATTTATTTATATCCCATTTGTCTCCCAAGCTAGCTTATACTGGATATAAAATAGCTAAAACATTCTGTAAAACAAAAATTTAAAAAGCAACATATATCAGCTTAAAAACATTCATTTAGATAAGCTGAAGGACATTAAAACTATTACCTTTGAGTACTCATTACAGCCATCTATCCATATCCATGGATTTCTTATCCACAGATTCAACCATCTATGGCTTTAATAAAAATATATATAAATCCTAAAAAGCAAACCATAATTTTGCCATTTTATATAAGGGACACCATTTTACTACACCATTGTATTTAATGGGACTTGAGCATCCAGGGATTTTGGTATCCACAGGGTTCCGGAACCAAACCCCAGGAAATAACAAGGGCCCACTGTACTAACACATTACAGCTATTGTAACCATTGTCCTTTTGAAAAATTGAGAAAAAATGTTATTTGCTTCCCCCTAAACTCTGATAATCATATATCTATGTGAACTGCCCTGACTGGATTCCATACTCACTCACACAAACACCATACAGCAAACCACTGCACCCACACACAGTACTCACTCAATGTCCTTCTCCTTCTGTCTCCCTCTGTCCCCCCCAAAATGATCAAAATTTCATACCTAAACCAGCCTGGTATGTGTAAAAACACCTTCTTTACTTATAAATTCTTTCATATCTCTCAAACCAACCCAGCCAGACCAAGAGCCACTGTCGAGAGCAGCCAACTTAGTAAGCAACCCTTCACTCACACTGCACTGACTCTCTTTCCAGAGATGGCCACATTCTCATTTGGGGGAATCAGAAAAAGAAGGCTTACTTCAAACTAACATGAGTTTCAAGTACAACTTGTATTTTCAATGTTTTGTCCTCCTGCTCCTCCCTCTTTACTCTCCCTCTCTCCCTTGTTGTTGACCCCCTAGTCCTTGCTACATAACACTCCACAAAGGAAGATCACATGGATAGTGGCCTCCTCCTAGTAATCAGAATGAGCCAGGACATCCCTAATAATGTGTAAAACAGTCAGAAACTACATTGTGTTACTCTGAAAAGTAATGAATTACAATGCCTTTTATGCAAAAAAGGAATACAGTTCCAGCTCATAACTGCAAAATGTAGTTAGTTACCAAAGCAACTCACTACAAGTAGCACATTACTTCCAAGATTTAGGTCTGCTAAGTAGGGTAGCCTAAAAGAGATTTTTCTGACATGAAGAACAAGATGGTATCCTATCCCATATACACAGATGTTGTTTGGACTGGTTGTTGAAGATTTGAGATGGAATGGTGTTCTCAAACATAATTTGGGGAAGAAGGTTACTGGTAGTTTATACCAGAACAGGCTGTGTAGCATACACTCTTGGGTCCTCCAGCAGAGAAGCGACCAAGAAGCTTCCATGTAGCTGTCCTTCATGGGATGACATTGATGTCAATAATGACAATAAGTGCTTAAAATGCCTGGGGAAATGTCTGCATTACCAGTACTTTGTTCTTGTTGCTTAATTTCTTATAGTTTTCCTCTTCAGTGTTTAATGTTTGTGTTCTCCTATTCCTCTCTTCTGAGTCATCTTCTCTGTTAAAATCTGTCCCTGTCCCCTCCACCTCCATTTTTGTATCACCTAACCTGACAAAGATTTCCAGAGAAATCAAAATATGATATGCTGATATGTTTTGGTCCTAACAAAAGTATTGAGAGTCAGTGTGGTGTAGTTGTTTGAGTGCTGGACTAGAACTCCAGGAGAACTGGGTTCAAATCCATGCTCAGTCATGGAAACCCACTGGCTACATGTGCTCCAACTGTCCCATTTCAGCAGGGACAGTCCTAATTAATCCTTTGTTGTCCTACTTGTTCAGTTGATTTTAACTTTTCTCTCTCCTCCTCCCGCTTTCTCCTTTTGATTTTCTCCCTCAGCGGCTGCAAACTAAGTTCAAAGTACAAAGGTAGTTTGTATTGAATTAACAAAAATTGTTTTATAATGAATCACCATGAAGTTGCATGGCTTTATACAAGGGACCACACAAAAAACACCATCAAATGAATGCTTACATTGGTGTCTAGAGAAAAATAAACCAGACACCGATCTGAGAATTGTTAGCAGCTCCATAGCAGAAACACACTGATCCAAGGGATGAAGTCTTATGGATCTCATGAGTCCTTCCTTACAGATAACTAGCAACAAAGCACAGATCACTTCTGTCTCCAGTAATGTGTTTTGTGATTTAATGGTGGTTTTGGTGGTATCATGTGTACAAATCCTAAATCCACAGGCCATGGCAATTTTGAGAAATCTTTGTTGTTGTTAACTGCCCTCGAGTTGATTTTGATTCATGGTGACCCTATGGATAAGACATCTCCAAGACCCTTTGTCTTCCACTGCTCTGTTTTATTCCTGCAACCCCATACTCATGACCTCCTTAATAGAGTCCATCCATCTAGCATGTGGCCTTCCTCTCTTCCTTCTTCCCTCCACCTTCCCCAGTATTATTGTTTTTTTTCCCCAAAGAGTCCTCTCTTCCCATGATGTGTCTGAAATACAACACTCTCAGTTTGGTCATCTTGGCTTCCAGGGAAGTTTCCAGCTTGATCTGCTCTAGGACCCACTTGTTTGTCCTTTTGGCTGTCCATGGGATCCTCAGCACTCTTCTCCAGCACCACATCTCAAAGGAATTAATTTTCTTCCTGTAATCTTTCTTAACTGTCTATCTCTCATCCATACATGGTAATAGGGAATACAATGACTTGTATGATTCTAACTTTTGTGCTGAGTTGTATATCTTTGCATTTTAGAATCTTTTCTAGTTCTTTCATAGCCACCCTCCCCATTCTTAGTCTTCTTCTCATTTCCTGACTGCAGTCCCCATTTCTATCAATGTTTGGTCCCAGGTATGATAATTCTTTTACTATTTCTATTTCTTCATTGTCTACATTGAACTTGTGAAGGTCCTCAGTGGTCATTATTTTTGTTTTCTTTATGTTCAACAGTAAGCCTGCCTTTGCAGTTTCCTCTTTGATCTTCCTTAGTAGGTGTTTCAGGCCTGTGAGTTTCCAGCTAGTATTATGTTGTCATCTGCATATCTTAGATTGTTGATATTCCTTCCTCCTATTTTCATTCCTCTTTCCTCTGTGTCCAAGTCTGTTTTTCTTATAATATGTTCCGTGTACAAGTTGAACAGATAGGATGAAAGGATGCAGCCTTGTCTGACCCCTTTGCCAATTGGAAACCATTCTCTTTCCCTGTGTTCTGTTCTGACAGTAGCATCTTGTCCTGGGTACAGATTCCTCATCAGGACTATTAGATGTGTTGGCACTCCCATGTCTGCTTCTGAAGAAACTGGCAGTGTAGTGATAGGGAACATGCAACCCTCTAGCCCTTGTTGTATCGCAACTCTCATGATCCTTCACCATTGGTTATGTTGACAAGACCTGATGGAAGTTGCAGGCCAACAACATGAGAGAGAGTGACACATTTTAGTTTCCCAAATCATGGAAATAGACCTTGCTGGATATCCAGAGAACAAGGTCTGTTCCTTAAGATCCATCCACAAACATAAAATGACATAGTTTATTTCACAAGTAGCTTTAAATTTGTGTTGGTTAGTTCTCCCTCCCCCCCCCACCCTTTCAGTCCTTGAAGTACATTGGTGGAATCACCCCTCCATCCCAAACTATCTATGTTGAAATGCCAAACATATTTATGTCTGGGTTTCTAGTGTTTCAGAAGTTAAGTGATGCTCAGTATATGCTTGCTTGCTTGCTTGCCACCAACTCTGTTTCAAAGCTTGTCCTTCATTAGTGCTGAGGATCCAGCTGGTATGTGTTGTCTGTTTCTCCAGACTACACATTGAGTAGTCAGCCCAAGCTGTTGCAAGAGCATGATAAGCTTAATGAGTGTGAGAGACAGAGTTCAGAGGATTTTGCTAGAACCTCTGGTGCAGCCTCCTGACAGGGGCACTGTTGCAATTAAATGAAAGATATATTTTATTTACAATGGAATCCCAGGGTGTGTTCTTTCTGAAGGATGAAAAGCTGGAATGCTGAACACCTTTCTCCCACCTACACAGCTCAATTATCATCAGATTGTTCAAAGGAAATCTGGATCCATGTTGAGCATCAACCCTGGCGAGGGAGAAGTGTGAAAAATCCTGCAGCCCACAGAGTTGGCAACCGTGCCTTCATCTGCACTTACTCAGAAATACAGTGTTTATGTTGTTGCTGCTGATCCATCTGTGATGGTTAAAATGTGAGCCTATTTATGTCTATGGTGTTTTTGAAAGACATAAATAAAATGCCTGCTCTTTCTCTCTTTCTCTTTTTTGAAATATGCCTGTCTGTTTCCTTGAGGTAGGCTTGTGATGTCTGACTTGGAAGAGGAATTGCCTTGGAGAAGCACTGCAAGAGAACTAAAAGTAGGGGAATTTAAGTAGTCAATGGAATAATTAAATACAGAAATCCTGGGGGCTAATCACATTACAGAATTAAAACAGTATCATTCCACTTTAATTGCCATGGTTCTATTCTATGGAATCCTGGGATTGGCAGTTTGGGCAGGAGCCTGTAAATCCTCTGCCAGAAAGCTCTTCTAGTGCTTTTCACCAAACTACAAACCCCAGGATTCCATAGGATGGAATTGTGTCAATTAAAGTGGAATAACAGTACTTTAATTGTGTAGTGTGAACAGGTCCCTGGTTTTATGTATCCCTAAGTATTGGGAGGCCTGATAAACCACTCTACAAAACTAAGGGAATTTCACATGCCAACCTCCTCACTTCATCTAGCCTAGTACTATCTATTCTTCATCTCTCAAAACACTTTCAGCCAAAATGTTCCCATCATTACTAACCAGGGACTGTGGAAAGATCCTATTTAACTTTTAATTCTTTTGAAGATTTAATGTAAGAATGTCTCCAAACAAAAAACATGTTGTACCACTGTGCTGTGCATGTTGTATAATCACCTATACCTATAAAAGTAAAAGCAACCAAATTCAATGGCAGTAGGAATTTCCAGTAGAGTGCCCTATAGATCAGTGTCCAAAGGTAGGTCTCAACAGTGATAAGAATACATTAATTTAAATCAATTATTACTGATTAAGATGTAATTCAATTTATCTTTTAACTAAAGTGATTGACTTATCTTTAACAATTCCAGTATTAACTTACTTCCAGAATCAAGTTATTAATGTAAGCCAGAATCCCTCTATGGCAGTTAAGAATGTGCAACCTAGAGTTGCACATTTGTTACTGTTACATATCCATGATCCCTGCATAACCCCTAGTTATTGGAAAACAAACAGAATCCCCACTAAAGAAGAATGGCTGATTAAATTAAGGGAAGCTGCTAATATGGATAGTCTGACCGCAAAATTGAGAGCTAAAGACCTATAAGACGAATGGACATGTCTAAAAAAATGGAAGAAGAAAAAGACTGGAGTATAAATGGAAAATGAAAACAATTCAATGATACACCGATGGAAATACACCTGTTGGAAGTACCAAGATAACAGTAAGGTTTGAGAAATATAAATATTCAGAAGACCTTTCAAATTTAATGTAAATACGAAAGAATTAACAGAATAAGAATCAAAATAAGGTAAAGATGTTGGTTTGATTGATTGTGTTATGAATGGTGATGAATTTAGATTTATGTCTGTATTTGTTTGCACTTCTGTTTGTAGTTAATGAGAGGGATGTTGGATGTTGTATAGAGTATTATGTAAATGTCATGGACACTGTTATGATATGTATTGTTATGGTTACTATTTATTGTTATTGTTATGTCTATTATCTTGTTATGTTTTTAATAAATAAAATTAATAAAAACAATAACCCCTAGTTAGGAACCATATTAGAGATTTTGAAAGCCCCTCCATACCAATTTATTGGGAAGCAGGCACTGCAATTGATGGGGGTCCACTCCCCTATCCATCAGAAAGCAGCTGGCTGATGACTCCCCCCTCCCCACTCAAACAAGTGATCTCTGTTGTGAGAGGGAATTGTGGAATAGACCTTGGTTCTGCCTATCCTCCTGGAGATCACTCAGAGAAAGGGGTGGAATGGCAGCCAATTGCTTCCTGAGTGACAGAAGAACTGCTTTCTGGTAAAAGAGGAATTGGGGGTCAGGATTCATCATAAGTATGATGCTTACACATCCATTAATCTCACACAAGATTCCAGCATAAGTTATTAATTAAATAAATGTGAAGCCATGCAAAGGAGTCAAAACTTCTAGTTTTCTTGGATTTTTCAAAATTTCTTCTTACTTTTTGTTAGACCCTCAGGATTGGAAAATTAGTGTTTAGAACATATGATATACTTAGGCCAGGTCCACATGGGCAAAAGGTGATTTATTCTAAACCATTTAAAAAGGAGTATACCTTAAGTTTGGTGCTGAAATGGCTGGATCTCATCTGGAAAGCTCACACCAGAATTGAGGGTTGAGCCCTGAAGTGACTGGGAGCAGACTAGAGTATTCTAATCCCAAAGCTGCTGGTACATTCCCATTACCTTCATGCAGCTGTTTGCATGTGTGTCCTATGCAGCTGTTTGCATGTGTGTGTCCCATTGTGCTGGCTGGCACTGCCACTGGAGGTAGAAGTCAGTCACTCTGAGGTGCCTTGTTCTGACCTCAGAATGAATGACTCATGCAGTGGTGCTAGGTGGCATGGCAGGATGTATTGGAATCACCTGCCCAGCATTACAGTGGAGGGCTCTGAATTTTTCTAAAATATCTGGAGCAAAAGGTGATTTGTTTAAAACTGTTTTAAGGGG